GACTTTTCCAGGCACTCGTTTGCCCTCCATGGCCGGACGAATATAGACATTATCCAATACAGCAGGCCTTCGGTCTAAAAAAAACGGTTAGTATGCTTGGCGAAACTAGATTCAAGCCGGTCTATTGCATCCACTTACTTCTGATTTCAATCAGCTTGTCTTGCTCAATCACATCTTCCATATCCTTCTTTTCTTGCTCCTTCTTGACCGCATCTCGCTTCATGTTTGAGATCTGAGTAGCTATCTCACTGTATCTCTCCCCGTCAGACGATCTGAAAGTCAGACTGCGCACAAAGTGTGCGGAGGCGTCCTCGAAGGGCTGGTCATCCTTTCTACCTACGCCCTGTCCAGGCGACAGGAAGTTGATTCGTAGGAATGAAAAGTCGTTTTCGTCGCTCTTGCTAGCGTTCTTGATTGTGTTGATGTGGAATGGCACGGGTCGGCCCATGATGGGAAGAATGACAGTGCTGTTCCTCGAGTCCACCACTACTTCCAGGTTCTTGATTTTGAGTGGGAACTGATTGTCTCGTTTATACGATTCAAATCGCTTAAACTTTTTGACTTCAGCTCCGTTCTTGTCGCCAGTTGCCTCGGCAAATCTGGCGAGACCTTCCTTCTGCTTCTTGGCCGCCAGCTCCTTTTGGTGCTCCTTTCTTTTGTTTTCGGCATCTTCGTCGACCTGCGCTGTTCTCTCGGACCGGAGTCTAGTACTGGTGATGTTTTTAGTGGCAACAGCACCAACCTTGTGGTCCTTCTTCTCCTTCCGAGGGGCGGGCTCGACTTCTTCGTCATCCTTGAAAAAGAACGAATTGGCATCGGCACTCGTGGGAGATTCAGCAGTGAACACCACAGGCTCCCCGGTAGTGACGCGGATAGTATCAGTCAATACCAAGGAATAGACCTTGCTATGCTTGTCTTGGGGCTGTGGGTTATCAATGTCCTGGAATCCAGTATGGATGATGAGAGTCATTCCGTCCTTGAGTGTTCTGTTGTTCTTAGCGTTGAGGACGAGGGTTGGGTCTCGGTTTTCCAGTCCAACCCCCCAGCCAACATTCTTGAGAAAATGCTTCTCCATCTCTGGCTTTTTGATCTTGAGCAAGCTCAGTGCCTTGTTATAGACGTCCTTGGCTGACATTCCGTCTCTGACGTCCTTGATGATGGAATTGTGAACCATATGGAGAAGCTTGTAATTGCTTTCCTGCGCCTTGTTGGGATCAACAAGGTAAGTCCTTGCAATCGTCGAACAGTATGACTTGTACCTGAGACCCAAACCAGCAATTATGATGCCAGCATGCAGGTTGTCATTGTTGGCTTCGGCGGCAAAGCGAAGATCATACTTGCCACCACTCTGAATAGCGGGCCCCAAGATCCAGTCCAGTTGGGCCGAGTCGAAATCAGAGGGCAGCTTGCCCTTGTTGGGCAACTCAACCGTCTTCCAGAATTTGTCATCATCTAGCTTTCTATCAACCTTCTCTGCCAAGGAAGCGTGCGTGACCTTCTTTTCGCTATCGAGAATATTGGACATTTCGTCGAGGAAGTAGGGCGTCATCAAGGCAACGCAAGCCTTGGAGGCGGTTCGCATAGCGCGGAGCTCGTTCTCGTCCTTGACGGAGAAGGCGTGGGTAGACAGCGCAGCTGAAATATCGACCTCCTCCACGTCCTTGCACTGCTCCGAGAAGACCTTTTTCCACTCATCGACGAAGGGTCCCTTGGACGTGTCTTTGGCGATGGTACCGACCTTGTCCTTGAATCACAGTCGCGTTAGCTAATATTGATCAAGACGAGAGTCATTAAAAATCTGTCTTACTCCGGCCGCCTTGATCTTCTCTGCAATGGTGACAAATAGCTTCTCGTTTTCCTCGGCGTTCTTGCCGCGAACAAGCACCTCGATGGGGAATCGACCGCCTTTTAGCTGATCCAAATGTTTGGCTAATAAATGTCAGATGTGGATAACTCGAGTGTGATTTGCAACGCGACCACGCGTACCTTTCTTAGCCGTCGTAAGGATGTACAGCGTGTCCACAGTGAGCAGCATCAAGGTCGTGGGGAACTCGTAGCCAAGCAACCAAAACTGGAGCGCGGGAAAAAAAAAGAGTGATCTCGTCAGCATCACGGATTCAACCACAATGTGCGCGCGTGCTGCGCAATAAGGCCCAGGGTCCAACTTACATGCATGGCATTATTCTTATGGAACTCGGGAATCTCCTCCATCTTGCCCATCATGATGAGAATGGAGGCAGCTCCACCAAAGAGGCCGTCCTTGGCTCTCAGGTCATTTTTCCAGGCGGTCGCAAAATGTGAGATGCGCTCTTGGAAGAGCTTTCCGTCAATCTTGATATCCGCCATGGTGATTGATGGCCAACTGAGCGGGCTGCAAGACGGACCGACGAAAGGGAAAAGAAAAAGAATAGAAAGAAGTCCGACAAGGGAAATGTGCCGGACGGAGGCGGGAGTATGATTGCCTGGCTGGCTGACGCGCGAGAAAAGCAGTTGGCGTCGCGTTAATGGGGTGAAGGAGCTGGGTGGTCACGTGACTGGAGTCCACGCGTAGCTCGCCTGAGCTGTTGAAGCACCAGAAGCTGCCCGCTAGGGAGCTGAAGGTACGGGGCTTAAAAAGTCTGGTTGAATGTGGCTTAAACATTGAATCTAGATTTTTAGCCTTGGAGAGCTGCGACTTGGCTATTAATTTCTGTGATGGTCTGGGCTAGGCCTGATCTTGGCTGTGGACGTGGGCTGTGTTTGTAGCGTGTGACTAATTGAGCGAAGTTGTGAGCGACTTGTTTCATTCATAAGTACCGAACCCTGTTGTACATTGCGTCGCGATTGTGCTGACATCTGGACATTCACGATGGTCTTGATGAGGCTAGTCCTTGACGAGTATTTATATAAGACAATCAAAGATCTTGGATTTATAAACGTACAAAAAACATTATATTAGTCCAAATAAGTTATGTCAAAGTAAAAAAGTTAAATTTAAACGATTTAGCACTGCTTAGTGATTATGTTTTGCTAGTAATTCGGCGCCTTCCTGTTTGGCGGGCTTTCACCAACGTCAATCAGATCAAGTGGATTGGCACCGGTCCCGACCGCAAGGCCACAATCAAGCGCGCTTGAGTGACGCCTCGTGCAACACAGATGACGGATGGGGGAAACGACATCATAAAGTGAGATTATTCCGGAGGCCGTATATCATAATGTTGCCCGCTGGTGATGAGGTATTATTTCCAGCGGCACCAGACGTACGTCTCCGCTAGTTCTCCGCTAGTTTGAGCACTCGGCGACAGGCCGACAGCACGGCTCTGCGGGCCACTTGACGACATGGACGCTTCCGACCCCGCTGTGTTTCCGGCTCCTAGACCGGCTCCTGCGCCCTCGCATCCGACGGGCCATTCCCGTTCCCGTTGCCGGAAACGAAAACCATCGACGCTCCGCTGCAACCTTCATTAACCGCCGAATAGCCACCAGCCCTTCCATCTCATGCCCTCAACTCACGCCCACACCCGCCCCTCTGTCGAAAAATCCATCCACTGCCAAAAAGTCTCATCTGTCCAGAACAAACCAACATGAGAATCCCCTACGTGCCCGACCCGCCACAGCCCTCCACGGCCGAGGAGACGCAAATCTTGCAGCGCATCCAAGCCCGGCGCGCGCCGCGGCCCCTTCAACCGCTCGACCTGGCCCTCCTGCACTCGCCCCCCCTCGCCGACGGCTGGAACTCCTTCCTGGGCGCGGTCCGCACGCAGACCTCGCTGGGCGACGACCTCCGCGAGCTCGCCATCTCCCGCGTGGCAGTGTGCAACGGCGCGTGGTACGAGTGGAAGCACCACGCCCCGCTGGCCGCGCAGGCCGGCGTCAGCAAGGAGGCCCTCGACGTGGTCAAGACCGAGGGGCCGCTGGGGCGACTATCGCGGCCAGACGTCTTGACCGAGCGGCAGTGGGCTGTGTTGGTGTACACGGACGAGATGACCCGGAACGTGCACGTCAGGGACGAGACGTTTGGCATGTTGAAGGCTCTGTTTAGTGACAGGGAAGTTGTCGAGATTACGGGAACAGTAAGCTTGAGGGTCTTCTTTACATGAACTCCCTATTTGTGGGACAGCATCCCGTCGGCTAACATTCACGTCACAGGTTGCCGCATACAACTGTGTAAGTCGATTTCTCGTGGCGCTCGACGGTAAGTCAATATAAAGACCAACTCAATTCTCGTCAATCTACCCGTCTCTAACTATTCAAAAAAAAAAAAAGTCGGGGAGAGAAACGGCACCGGTCCAGACGACGTGATGACCCATTAACCGATAAAACTGCTTTTATCAAACCAGTCACCACCCACATGCACCATGTCATGCACCGGCCGTTGTGTGTATTAGAAGAGAAGCGTAGCGGGTTGGCGAGGCGTGTGGAATGGCAACTGAGAAGAGATGAAAAGTCGCGAGCAGTAGTGACGAGGTGAAAAGTGCGCAAGAGAAAATTAATAAAATGCCAACAATGGCGTGTCGAAGAAGTGAAACTGGGGGTATCCTATCTAAATGACCCAATGGGCCAGAAAAGGAAAAAAAAAAAAAAAAGAGAACAGGGCAGCGAGCCACAAAACTCCACACCACAAGAACCAGGATTCAAGAGCCGCAAGTACTCCGTATAATAGTAGGCCAAAAAACAAAAAGAACAGCAGCACACCCGTGGTGATGTGGTGATGCAACGCCAGTTTCTTCATACAATACTGTTTCATGAACATGTCTCTTTTGCTTGTCCGTGATATGTCGTAATCGTCGTGGATGGATCTGTCTGTATGTGTGCTGCCCAAAGTGCCTGACAATGCTGTTTTATCCTTGCCGCCGTAGGACTGCTTGTAGTGAATACTTTCAACTCTGGTTTCGTTGTATGACCTGGTAGCCCTGCATGGCAGCCCATATGCGTGACACTGCTGCATAGGGCACCAAGGCATCAATACCGCGATAACAAAGGGAAAAAAAAAACAAGGCACCAAATGGTTGGTCTGACCGCTACGGGGTCGGTTGTGCCATGGCGAGCTCTATCGAAGCATGTCGTTGCTGCATCCGCGGTGAGGTCTGGAGCTCTTGGACGACACCTGCCCACCCCTTCCTATGAGGTGTAATGACATTTTCCTGGTGGCCGATAGCCTGGGTGGTGAGACGTCTCAAGGGCGGGCGCTTCACCACGGTCTCAGTAAGTGACTTCTTTAGCGAGGGCTTCGTGGGGCTCGAAAAGGACATGATCTTCTCGGGGTCCCGAGGCAGCGGGGGTGGAGGGGGAGGGTTCCGGTCGACCACAGATGTCATGATGCCCATGTAGACGACGAGAAAGCGCATCCTCAACAGATCCAGGCGGCGCACCCTGTCCTCGAGCTGAGCTCGCTTTGCGCCCCAGAGCAGCCTCGTGCTCGTCCTGAGGGTCGTCGCGCCATCGGAAACCACCAGGCTGTTGAGCTGCTCGCGCAAGTCGTCGCCGCCCTTCTGTATCTCGCGGAGCAGCTGGCCCAGGCGAATCTTGTCCTCGAGTCGCTGGACCTTGGCCACGTCCCGGTCATAGCTCTCGTTTTCTTGTATGGAAAAATCGACCGTGTCAATAAAGGTGACGATTTCCTGGGGCGCGGCGAGGTAGGCTGCCCAGTAGGTGGCGACGACTTGGGCAACGACGACGAGTGACAGGAAAAGGGCGGTCAGGACGAGGATGATGGTCCATTGCAGCCAGCCAGACTCGGGCATGATGGAGCGGGGTTCGACGATGACGATGATGCGCAGACGGAGGCAGTGATGGGCTCGCAGCTGGGTGGTGTCATGATCTGGCGCAACGAGACTGGCGAGGCGCAAGAGGCACAGTCAATGCAAAAAGTATGCAGCATGTAAGGCACCAGACAAGAGCAGACGACGTGGGCGTAGAACGTGGTGACGAAAGGTTGGGAAACCATGGAGGGAGGAGGAACCAGACCAGACCAAGACGCCTCAAATGCCCGATTGGGCCGCCACTGCAAAGCCTGCGTGTTTGTTCAATGTTGGCCGCAACACCAGCACGGGGCAGGCAGATGCAGATGCAGATGCACGACTCAACGAGGGCCGATGCACTGCAGACTGGACGAACAACGGCGCCAGAGGCTACGTACAATGTAACTATCGTTGCGGCTGGCTGAACAGAGTCCGGGCATGGACGAACCAAGGAGCATGTGGTGGGCTGGTGAGTCGACGTACATACATACATACATGTACATAATAAGTAAGTAGACTCAAGGCAAGCCGTGATACCAGACTACTACTCCGTACTCCGTACTAGATCTGACATGGACCAGAGACCCCAGCCACCCCAGCCGAGCCGCCCGCTCGAGCACTCGAGGCCATGCTGCTCAAGATCAAATCCAAGCGTCAATCGCTGCCCCTGCATCCAAGCATGCAGCTGCAGAGTCTAATAAAGGAGCCCCGTGAACCCGCCACATGGCGTTGGGGACTTGACACATACCGGACAACATTGAACAGTACGGAGTAGACGCCGGCGGGTCGCTTGGTGGTGTGTGCATACAAAAGAGTCGAGTGCATCAGCAACAAAGTCTTGAACCATTGGTTTGACGCACAAAAACCAACCGACGGGCATGCGTTCGTCATTGACGTGCGAGCATCTTGAAGGTCCAAACCGGAGACGGCATTGATGTTTCAATCTTCAATCAAATTGATGTTTTAGTCGATGGGGCCCCGGCAACAGCCGCAAGCCTGGCGCCATCAATGCTGAGTGGACTGAACTGTGCTAGCTCTATGTACATGTACTCCGTACTCCCTACAGAGCAGGTACCTAGGCACTGCCGTGAGTGGGCGACAATGGCACACGGCCGAGGTACCGACGACCCGAGACACATGATCTACTCCTCCTCCCAGACAAGAGGCGGCGAGGAAGGTGCGTGGCGTGTTGCTTCTCCGTCCTCCTTACTGAGACCCAATCATCGTTCCACTGCCTCTATTCCTACTGGCCACACAATGAACTGACCGGATGTCGCTTGAGGGGCCAGTTGAGTGAGCTGTCAGTTGTCGCGCAATCAATCAATTGATACCAAGAGATCCGACAGCGCCCGACAGCCAAAATATGCGAGTGCAGGCGCGTGTGTGAGTGGGCGGGCATGTGTTTGGCTATGTACATACTGACAACATTGAATGTTGTATGTACAGTGGGTGGTGTACATGCTCCGTACAAGCACCAAGTATTGTATTCCCACTGGGTCGACTCGCTCTTTATAACCGTCCTATACCATTTATGTGCTTACAAGTCTCAAGAGACACGAGACCTTCCTAGAATAATGAAACCCCACTTACATGTACTCCGTACCTCCTTAACTTTTGGCCTTGGGGCTGTTATGTCTATAACCTCCTCCTTATTCTTTCAATTTTACCCTCTTTTGTGCTTGGCTTTTCCAGTTACAAAATAGAAAGAAGCAGACCCAGCTTTTGCAAAACACCTCGGCATACTACATAAATAATGCTGTGAATTCTATCAAGGCAGCTCGCTTAGAGACCTTGGGGTATCTTCGGGTCGGTAGGAGCTACTATATTCAGAGTCTGACTGCAACACGCCATCTGGTGGACGAGTCTCCCGGTATCGATGCTGAGTTTGTAGATTGTTAGCCAGCGATACGGTCCCGTGTGCTACGCCTTCTGATTCTTCATCAAACAGCCTTCGGTTCCCCATATAAGATCCATTTCGAACCAACTCGGGCGTCGAACTGGGATTACTATGCAACTCCAACGGGTCCCCGGGGTTGGCAGGGGTGGCCGACGCCTCGAGATATACCACACGTTGGTGCTCCGCTTGCTCGCTGCGTAGGCCGGTTTCCAGAATTTCTAAAATACGAGTCATCTGGTCCAAAGTTGCCGTTGATGCAAACGACAGGATCTCCAAGGGGCCGAGATCATTTGCCCTGGCCCCATTGCCCAGGAGACAACCAACCGCAGAGACGTGACCCATAAACGCAGCATGTCTCAAAGGCTGCCATCCTCCCGAGTCTATTTCCCTCGCGCTGGCACCGCGGTTTATGAGCTCTTGGATTATGGGCACGAAGCCTCCACTTGCGGCCCTACACACTGGGGAGTCGCTTCGAAGTCCGGGGCCAAGCGGGACATTGAGCCTCGCGCCGCTGTCAAGAAGCTTCTGAACAATCATCATGCTGCCTTGGGAACATGCAGTGAGTAGCGGGCGCGTTCCTTGGCCGTCCTGGCAATCTACCGATGCTCCCCTCTCAATAAGTTTGCATACAGTGGCTTTTGACCCTGCCTTGGTAGCGAGGTGTAGAGGTGTTTCCCCTGTACTGGTTTTTGCGTTGAAATCAGCCCCAAAGTTTAACAGCAATGAGGCCTCGCTATATTCGACGTCTTTGCAGGCATAGTGAAGCGGCCGGTACTTCTGACTACACTCCGCCTCCATGTTGGCACCGGCTCTGAGTAGCTTCTCAATCACGCCAAAACTCCTCGTCATTGCAGCCAGGTGCAGTGCTGTTCTGTTATTCTCGTTCCGTGCCTCGGTCTCAGCCCTTTTCTGCTTAAGAAGGAGTTCTACGACTTCGTCATGGCCCTGGAAACTCGCCCAGTGGAGTGGTGTCATGTCGCCTTGGCTCTTGATATTGGTCAAGGCTTTATTCTGAATGAGTATCCCGGCGACAGACCTAAGTCCCAATTTGGATGCAATGCCTAAAGGAGTCATCTTGGCATCGTCTTGGGCCTCAATGTTGGCCTTTGCCTCGAGGAGTGTCCTGACAACATCGAGGCGGCCTGCAGCGCAAGCGCAGTGCAGTGGCGATCTCATCTGGGAGTCCTTGGCGTCTTTGTTGGCACCGGACTGCAGGAGCAGTCTGACCACATCATTATCTCCGCTGTCAGATACCATGTGTAGTGAGGTGCGTTTTTTTCTATCTCTCGCGTCCACCAGTGCCTGGCGCCGCACCAGTGTTTTAATCGCATTCATCTGGCCGTGGTCGCAAGCAACTCGAAGCGGAGTCTTGTCCTCAGGACCACGAACATTGACATCTGCTTCTCTGTCGAGTAGGATATCGATAACCTGGCAGTGGCCATTCGCGGCGGCGAGATGCAATGGTTCGAGTTGACTCCTGTCCTTTGTTCCCAGATTGCAGCCTTCGGCCAAAAGCAACTCAACCACGCCCTCGTGACCGCAATGCGCCGCTACAGCCAGCGGGGTCCTTCCCGTCTTAGGGTGTATTTGCTCAACATTTGCTCGTCGCCGGATGAGCGAAGTCATTTCGGCGACGTCACCTCTCTGGGCGGCGACTATTGTCCTTGGCGGTGGTGTGTTGTTGTGCGATTGAAGATATATCTCGGTCGGTGCTAAATCGCCAGGGGCTTTGATCCTCTTCCGAGATATGGGTGATAATAGCTGCTCTCGAGAGATGCGCCCTGCCGACTTTGGCCTAGCAGTCCGGCTCAGCCGTCGGACAAGCCAAGATGTGTGCTGCCCGCCTGAGCCATCCGAGGTTCCAGTGGAAGCGGATCTGGGTCTTTTCGAGAAGATAGACAAAGTCTGTGATGTTTTCTCGGAGGGAATGGAGGAATCAGCATACTCCGGTCTTTGAAAGGGTAACGGCCTTTGCCACTCTTCAGTGGGATAGTTAAGCACTGGAAGGTTACTTATTAAAGGAATTTGGTCAGAAATTCCTTCATGGCTCGGAATTTCGGTATTCTGGGCATCGTCCTGCGGGTGGGGATTGGGCTGTTCAGACGCAGTCTCTCTAACTGTTGACTGCTCTCTGATTGTGGTTATATCCTCTTGAACCCGTTGTAGCAGCTGTGTAGACTTGTGTTTCCTCAGCAGGTCGTTCTGTTCGGATAGGTTCTGGCTACAAATAGTAAGCAAAATTGGCCTTAGCGAAGCGAATGCATAACCGCTGACCAGTAAGCAGCTGTAAGGAGAAGCTGAAGTGCAGAAATCTGGGACTGGAGACGAGCGTCGTGTTCTTTCAACGACGAGTTGGTGTCAAGAAAGAATTGCCGTAGCCGTGATCCGACCGAATCCCCAACGAGCGCGAGGATGTCTTGATCAAGGGCCTGCATGACGGCCTGGCAGCCGTCTATGGCTATCTTGAACCATTGGCTAAGCGATTCCCCTCTTGGATTTGATCTGAGACTGAACTCTGCCCATGTCTCAATTTCAGTAAGGGCTGCGCGGATGGTTGACAGTTTTTGTGCCAAAAGTTGCACCGGCCGACCACCCTCGGCCCAGCGGGACCGGACCTGGGAAAGATTCGAAGTAATTCTGACTATGATCTTGATGATATCTGAGCATGCCGCGACGGCGCCAATGATGGTGAGAGGATCCATAACGCCAATCCGCTGTTTTACGAAGGCAGGTAGGTGGTGGCAGATGCCTTGCAGACGGCAGAGCGTCCGACTTAAGACAGTTACCTCTCATCGAGGGCGCGTCCAACAGCGTCAGCCGCCGAATGTATAATATTGCAGAAATCGTCGTGTGCCGCATGTAGTGATTGGTTAGCATGAGATATTGTGCAACAAGTCTTTGCCCTGCGCCATGGTTAACCAGCCTATATTCCCTATTAGGATTCGAACAATCTAGGCTGATACTCACCTGGTGGAGGCGGAGTCCTACTTGCTAAAGTATATCCTAACCACATGTTGATTCAGCTCGAGGCTAACGCCATATGCGTGGCGACAACTGCGGTGACGAAGTGCAATGTTTTGAGTAGCGTCTGTAAACTTAAACGCTGCGTGGCACCACGAGCCCTAGGAGATGGGGTGGCAGAGTTTGTGCAAATAGGGGAGCGAGGCAGCCTGAGGTCTCTTGATGGGAGGGTCAGGAGAATGAGCAGCTTCCACACCACGATGGATTAGGAAACTCGACATCTTCCAAACATGGCAGGCGAGAGTGGCGTCCCACTTGTAACGCTGCAGGCATGTTGTTTTGCTACAGTGCAGCGATTTCGAGGGGCGTTCATAAATATAGAAATATAAAGAGGTGGGTCCAGGGCGGCTCCTCTCGCGCTTGACGGCTGCCATCCAGCAGTTGAAGATGGGCGCCCTTGATTATGTGGCTTGGAAGCCCTTTCTAGCCCGGCTACCCAGTGACTTTGCGTGAAAATTCAATTTAAGGAGATAGCGACTATATATCAAGCTGGCATCTAAGGACTGCTCTTTATAACAGTAGAAATCATCATTCACCCAACTAGCCCGAGTCCTGTATTGTCCGGCCGATTGCCCATGATGGTGATACATAGCAGCTTAGTCTATCGAATGACCCAACCCTGCATCTGGTAAAGAGTAAGAGTAACGGGGTTCCTCTGAAAGGCGTTGATTGGATATGGACACTACGGGGAAGTATTTTGGTGTAAGCTGGGTAGCTGAACTACAAGGCCTGTCTGTTGCACTGATTACGCACTAAATGAAGGTCTCACAGCCTGCCCTCAAGCTTCGACTGTGTTTCTCTCAGAGCTTCCAGTTTCTGTGCAAGGAAATAATCTACTGGTTTCCGAGCACATTTCTAGTCAAATAAGCGGCGTGCTCCTTATAGTGCCGGCATCTAACCTCACGTCTCGCATGCTTCAATGTCCAGCTCGTCGGCCCACAAGATGCTCCAATACCACTGTGCGCATTTACAACCGCTCACACTGTCTGACCGTCGCCCGCCTGCTCCTTGATATTTTTTTTCTCTCTTTTGTCGTTGCTACTGCTCGACCAAAACTCACGTGTCACCATCGACTGTCGTCCGCAATACAACCTGGGACCAGAGACCTGTAGAGCCCGGGCTCATCAGCATCCCATCGGCATCTGCCATGACCGCCGCCTCATCGACAGAGTCACCCGCGACTCACCAGTTTCCGCTTCCCAAGATTCTCGAATACCCCGCCTCTACCCCTCCATGCCTCATCACGCAGGGAGCCGAGGGCCGTCTTTACAAAACTACATACCTCCGGCCCGATGTGCCCTGCGCACTGAAATACCGACCACCCAAGCCCTGGCGGCACCCAATTCTCGATCAGCGTCTTACCAAGCATCGAATTTTGTCCGAGGCGCGGATCCTCGCCAAATGCCGACGGGATGGTGTTCGCGTCCCCGCCGTCTACGCCATCGACGAAAGTGCCGGATGGCTGATGCTGGAATGGATTCAGGGAACGCCGGTCCGTGTCAACATCAACGAGCGGCTGGGAAGTAGAACAGTTGGCATCGAGAACGATGCGAGATTAAAAGACTTGATGCGGCGCATTGGCGTGGCCATTGGGAACATTCACAGGATCGGCATTGTCCATGGCGACCTGACCACCAGCAACATGATGCTGCGCCCACCGTCCGACAGCGCAGAGCAGGTTGATGCGCTCAGCGGAGAGATTGTCGTTATTGATCTGGGGCTAGCAAGCGGATCAATCCATGAAGAAGACAGAGCGGTCGACTTGTATGTTCTTGAACGGGCTTTTGGCAGCACACACCCGCGCGCCGAGTGCCTGTTTGGCGAACTGCTCGATGCATACAAGGGCTGCTTCAAGCAAGCCGCGACAGTATTGAGAAAGCTCGAGGATGTCAGGATGCGAGGGAGGAAACGCAGCATGCTTGGCTGACGAGTTACGCCGCAGATTGAAATGAAGAAGAAAAAAGCGACTTTTTATGAAATTCATGTTATAGTATTGGACGTTAACGCGCTGCCGTGGCGCAGTGTGTAATGCTCGCTATAGCAAAGTTACCACCCCCCAAGATATCCCAAGAAATAATAATTAAAAGGGAAAAAAAGGGTGCAGAAATCAAGTAGTCCTCCAACTGTGCATATCTGTAAATGCAAATAAGCCACCCGGATGTACATGTATCAAAACGCTGTTCTGTTTGGCGTCCGTCAAGTTGCCAAGATTCAAATCAAATCAAAGAATTGCCTCTCTATCCCTCAACAAGCAAGCTCTGCCCCGGCAAAATATCCCTTATTTTCAATCACACCTCGATCTCGAACAAAGGCCATGTATCGCACAACCCACTGTGGCACAATGTTCCCCTGCAGCCCGACTCCGCCATTCTCCGCATCAGCCAGCACGTTGGCTCCTCGAGGTCCCGAACCAAGGAGTTCCCTCAGAGTCCCCGGAGGGAGAATGTCGGTGCAATCGCGGTGAACATTGAGCTCGATGCCATGGACTGCGGCTAGCTGTTTAAGCGGCGGAGGCACATTGCAACAATCGTGCAGGTTGATCTGGTCGACGACGGGGGGAACCGAGGCACGCTTGACGAATGCGCTCAGTTTCTCGCTGCCAAACTCGGCTACTCCAAGCCGCTTGGCGAGTCCTTGGTTGTGCAGCTCTTCGAATATCCTCCACGTGGCTAGCTCTTCATCCAGATTGCCCTGATTGGCATTCTTCTTGTCGGCCTCCCACTCGCACGTCCCTTCAAAGGATATGCCGGGGAACGACGCGACCAGCAAATCGATGGTTTGAATACCCAGTTCCTTGCTGACCAGAGCCAAGGCCTCGCCGATATACTGCACACGCTGTTCCACAGATGTTCCGGGCAGGAGGAACATCTTTACTGTGATTTCGTATTGGTTCGGTTCCTCTCGCAGCCCTGCGGCCTGCCAATTGATTCGCGGTATGTACAGGACTTTGCCGTCTCTCTCCGTCCAAAGTTCAACGGACGTCGGCGGCGTCGACGTGCCGCTGCGGATGCCATTGCCGTTTCCATTGCCGTTTCCATTGGAGATGCCGTTGGGGATGCCGTTGGGAATGCCATCGGCAACACCGTTGCCAGTCCCGTAGCCATTCGGGTGTGCGCCCTCGGCATAGTCGCGCTTGGCTTCGGAGAAGCTGTCGCGGAGCGAATTCACGAGTTCAAGGTTGGATCTGTTGTTGCTGCCCGACTTCCGAATAATCGACGGCCCGGACGTCATGACATTGCTGTTGACACAAAAAAAGCAAAAAAATTCGGTTAGCCCAGCCCATCATGGCTCAGATGCAGGGTCCTCCAATTGCGGCGGGCACATGGAGGGGAGTCGGGGGGACATTGAAGGAAGCACATACCCCGTCGACAGCACCAGCTTCGTCATGGCAGGCAGATTGTTGACTGCGTGCAGAAAGAGAACAAAGAAAAAACGTCGTTGAGTAATGGATATATTGACAGATGGACGTATCGAGAAACTTCAGTCAACGGATACAAGATTCAAAAAGAACAAGAGAAAGACAAAAATAAGAGAGCCGCGCCGGTAAAAGCGGAGTATGCTAACCAAGGGAAAATTTAAGCTGGGATGTGTGTAATTGTAATAATGGCGCCTGGCCCTTTGGCGAAGTAACCCGCCAAGAAAAACCCGCGGGCGTTTTTAGCTTTTGACGATGTCAAGGCATCAACGACTTTTTTCATCTTGTTTGCCCTTCCCCCGGTTCAAATACGTGCTGCCATGCTGCAACTGGCGCAGCCACAAAGGTAAGCCCGGGTGAGAATCTGACGGTCATTCCGCTTGGATTAATAATGCGGGGTGCCTAGGCGGGGACTAGCAACTGATGAACTGATGACTTGTCGGCGGTCGCGTTTCAGTCCGTCATACTTTGTACCAGTATTTCAGACAATGCCGCTTGTTGCGCTCCAGAAGATTTAATTCATGGCGCCAGGGTCCTGCACAGGGGCTCTTCACCCGATGGGCACCATCCGAGGGTGGACTTTTCTCGGGTTTGCGGCCGAGGGTCTGAAGAGAAACAAACCACAGCGCATGACAAGCGCAATCTTCTGTGAGGCGTGATACAACTTGGGAAGGGTTACGGTGCAGAAATGAACGAGGCGATTGATTAATCTTGCTGCAAGACGTGACTGGCCGCTGTACATATGCAAGTTATATTCAAGACCAAGTACCTAGGTACTCCGTAGTTGACCGAATTCAGCATGTCCCTTTCCGCTGCTGCATGTGCCATGTGCCGTCATAGAGACGCCGTGACGCCGCATTGCACCAGCATTTCTGGTCGTAATTGATTCAATGCCGCCAGCATGCCCTCTCCATAAGAAAAAGAGACGTCTCACAGCACTGCGACGAAACTGTCTCATTTAACTATAGAACAATGAAATACTACTGCCAGCTACTATGCTATTCATATTTGGATCTAGTCGTTCCCCGTTTTCCATTTCCCGCATCCTCCTCTTCGGCACGGAAAAACCTGGTCGACAGAGGTCACCCCCACCCACTCTCCTATTGCTCCTTAGATGCAGCAAGAGCTGGCTCGTCACCAACCAGCTTAGACTACCCGGCCAGCTAGATGAACCTCCACATCACAACCCACACCACAAACTCGACAGCCATACCCCTTCGTCGCTCTTTATCCTCGCTTCCTCTCCCTCCCAACATCCAGGCATACACACGTCTTGCACCCGGCTAGGCTTGGTGACGTGTGCGCTCGCCTCATCATGGCTATTCAGTGCGCGCCGTCTCTTGCCCCGTATTCGGTTTCCTCTTGTGTAGTTACTGACCGGTGGCCACAGATATCTCATCCTGCTGTCCCGCCAGGGCAAGGTGGTCCGTCGGCTTCTGTGTGTCGTTGCATGGCGAATTTTGGTGAAAACTAACCTGGTCATATAGCGCCTCGCCAAGTGGTTCACTACGCTGTCTCCCAGGGACAAGGCCAAGATTGTCAAAGATGTGTCACAGCTTGTCCTCGCCCGTCGAACACGCATGTGCAACTTTCTCGAGTATAAGGGTGCGTGCCCTGTGACACATCCCAGTCTCTTGGTGATTGACATTCAAATCAAGTATGCTAACATGTTGCGCCCGATTTATTTTCCTTTGCAGAAACAAAGATTGTGTACCGCCGATATGCGTCGTTGTTTTTTATCACTGGATGCTCGTCCGACGACAACGAATTGATCACCCTCGAAATCATCCATCGCTATGTCGAACAAATGGACAAATACTACGGCAACGTGTGCGAGCTAGACATCATCTTTTCCTTCACCAAAGCATACTATATCCTAGACGAGCTGCTCCTTGCCGGCGAGCTTCAAGAAAGCAGCAAAAAGAATGTTTTACGATGTATAGGGCAGCAGGATTCCCTGGAGGATATGGAGGTACGTTTTAGCGCGTTCATGTCGTTCCTAGTGCCGGTGTCCCCCGTCCCCCGTCTCCCAACACTGCCGGAGAAGGCTTTCCCTGTTCCCCGTGCAATCTCCGCGCATGCCGTCGCCAGAGTCAATACCAGCTGACGCGGGATATCTGTTCCTTTTTGCGCATCATTAGGTTGAGGATGAAGTTACCAAGCTCATGTAACCTCCCTCTTCCTCTCGAACCCTTGGAAAAGTGCGAGGTGATACACATTTCTACACGATGATGTAGCGCCTCCCTTACAACACTCCCAAAAAGTTGTCATCATTTTTACCTTATCGAAGCACGATGTCTAGACAGCCGTCATATAGGGGCAACCGCATTAGCACATACTGGGTTAGAAGAAAGAAGCAAGAGCGTGAAGGATGTTGACAGTCATTTTGACTCTACTACGGGGTGGCTGATGCAAGACATTGACACTTGAGTTTGGCAGGCCTCGATAGACATTTCGAAGCATCTCGAAGACGCCGGCCTGATTTGAACGGAGATGAATGTCGCAAGAACAGACACATGGCGAGAATACTGGGCATCTCTTCAATGGGAAGAGACGACACTACGGAACACGCGGGTATGGGCTCATTGTTGATAAACTGGCGGTTTGTTACCGGTAAACCGCAGGTCGTGTTGGCTTTGTGTGTATTTTATCTTTGAGGGTGGAAAACCATCTTCTGTAATATCGAGAGATAGTGAGAGCGCTTCGGTGGCAGGAGGAAACGAGTTCCCAGGCAGCCACTAAGCGGAAGGCATCCAAACCTAGCTTGACGACCCGCTGGAGAGTTGGCATACTCGGGGCGGTCTTTCCCATTCATTAAACCGGATGGGCAAGTGCTGTCACGGCGATGCAGGATGTCCACCGAGAACCATCTGGGGATATACCTAGTCAAAACTTGACGAGCCAAAAGGCCTCACCAGGGGCACCCAATGTCGCGAGCTGGGTATGAATGAGTAATGACGAGCAAAATTTCCCGTTCTACTCTTTGATTCTTGTCACACAATGCAGCAGTCGACGTGGTGGAATTTTAACACTATGTTACAGAACCGTTTCTGCCACAGCAAATGTCACTTCTATGGCCCGTGGCACCATCATGCCCCCCCATTCGTTGAGAGATTGAAGAGTTGGCGCCGTTGTGAGTATTTGCCCAATCAAGACGGCTAACCAGCAGAATCGATCCACGAGGCGTCGCATATGCAGCAGTCAGTAGAGGAGAAACAAGCACGTTCGTGCATCCGGGACACGGATGACGACCTGCGATGAAGCGATACGAAGTACCCCGATACTCCTACCCATATACAGAGTCGCGGTTGGGAGGAAGCGGAGGCAGCAAAGCAAGCTCGTTATCGGAGGCGCGCGGCATCGGGGTCGGTTGGCCACAGTCCAGAGTTGGCAACCAGGCATTTCTTCCACCAGTACCACTGGCGGGCGTTGTTAGCAAGCAGCTCGTCTGGTCTGGTGCTTTTGCTGCGGTTTGCCTTGGCGTGCGCAAGTGGGCGGTGGCTTGTTGCTGCGTGCCATCGATGAAATCAAACGGTGAGATGGTGGGCCTCTGATTGCACCACGCCGCACCACGCACCACCACGCACCACCACGCACCACCACGCACCGCGCCGAAGCACGCCGACTCCAGGAAGGGCGACCAGTCGACGGCTCAGCGTGTGGTGGGAGTGGCGAGGTTTCCATGTTCCACGCAGTGGACAAACGGAGCCCCATGTTCCGGGTGAGCCATTCCGCGCGAGGAGGACTGGGGAAGGTGCAGCGCCCACAAACCAAATGCAGCACTCAACCCACCTGACAATGGAGATGTCGAGGAGCATACCGATTGATGCGTTCATTCCCTGTTCGCGTGCCGAGCTAGCGGTGGTTTTGGCCCCGTTGATGCACGTCTTCATTGAAACCTTGGGACGGTTTGGCTTTCGCGGTGCTCCGGCTGGAGCTGCCGCTCCCCATCGCTCGCATGCCCTTGGCGCTCCAGCACACAAGTGCGCTTGCGCATCCCAAGTCTCCCGGCGCCAAGTGTGCTCGACGGTCGACACGCTCCCAACTTGCAGCTACTTCCACCGCTCACTCGCTCTTCCCCCCCCACTTCACGCGCTGCCTCTCATCCCCTTCATCCATGTCGTCACCTTCCAACCCATTTCCAAACCTCGAACCTCTTCATCGCTAATCATGTCTGCCGGTTCTCGTTGCTAGACTTCTCGGTCTGGCACACTACCCTTCCTGTTGGACTCATCTAGGGTCCTGGCATACAGCACTGCGCACCATCCCGGTCTGCCGGCTCCGGAGTGACATCTAGGCTTGCGAAACGCGACCGACGACACATACCGCAATCCGCACTTGATCGCTGCAAGCGACTTCGGCAATTGCGCAGTCACTTTTTTTACTATCGCATAGCGATTTATTGCTATTTGGCAGATTCTCAAGTGCTCAACCGCCCAGCTTCACCATCCGGCCCCGGCATTACACGAGCCTTCCGCCCTTTTGTTACGTGGTCTCCTCACAATTGATTCACCCACCACCTCCCGCCTTGTCCCACAGACAATCGCGACTCCGTTTCATCCGGCATTTCGCAACATTCAGAGATCACCCCTCTCGAATATTCCCTTGGATATCTTCTTGAAACATTGCCTGCGACCCTTGCATTCGGGACAACTTCTGGCGCTGCTTAGAGTTTCGTAACCGCCAAGATGAAGGTGCGCTTCTAGACCCTACCTAGATCTAATCGTCTAGAGGACGTCGCCTAGTGTTGTCTCTGCTAACGCGATGGTGCCCAATGTGTAGTATCTTCCGGTTCAAGATTTCGAAGCCGTCACCAGCGCGCTCAACTTCAACACTCCCGACTGCAACGTTACTGGTGGCTGCGACCTGTACACAACAAAATCCACCGGCTCCGACAAGAAATTATACAAAAACATCGACAAGGATCTCGACTCACAGCATGCTGCCTTACTAAAACTTGGCGCTAGCCTATCACCGCCAGATCGTGAGCACATGCTGGCTACGTCACCGAGTATGCAATTATTTTCGACATCGAGCGCTTTCGGGCCACTGTCAGATCTATCCAGTAGGAGGACTTTTGCCTATCTGATCGCAACACTAAATGCCAGCCATCCGCACTACGACTTCTCACACGTATTGCGGCCGAATGACTTCAAGCGCGAAAGGAATTTGCGCCGTGTCATGGCAAATCTTGATTCCATCCTCCAAAACGTGCGACCCGGATTCGAAGCGACATCCTTTGACTCCTCTCTGGGAAGCGACTTGAATTCAGTCTGGGGCACGCAATGCTGGTCCTTGATAGACAAAGAAATGCGCCTCAATGAGTGTACGATATTCAGTTATCAACCCGACCCGGATCCATTTGAAGAAGACGAAAGCGCCATCTGGGCAGTTCATTACTTCTTTTTTAATCGGGCGTTGAAGAGAGTGGCATACCTCTATGTGCGTGTGGTACCGGTTGTCTCATCGACCAGCCCGACACTGCGACCTATGCGGGTTGGCCAAGCCAAGAGAAACATCGACTCTGACGCCGAAGGCGCGTCGAAACGAGCCAACTACTGGCTCGGTGATAGACATGTCGAACTGGTCAATTCCCTCGATGACGAAGAGGAGCAGATGGATGACGGACTTTTTTGGAACAGAGGAGAAGACGGTGATTTAGTCTTGTACTCAGAAGACGAATACTTGGAAGAGGCGGATGAAGATGACGACATGGATGATGAGGACGAGCACAACACGCATATGAGGCACACGGAGAGATTGATGAGTGAGGATATTGCTGGGCGGATGGAGATTTAATTCTCTCCGTATTCTGAAGCACATGTCGACAATGCCCCAATCGCTTGATTGCTTTAACTGCTTGAGAGACCTAGATTCAAGTGACTTTCAACAGCCCCCCTGGAATCTACATGGCAGGCCTCCATGCAGACTTTTCCCCAAGGAATTTTGACAGCAGACATGATGAGCTATTGATATCTTGCTCACCTTTATTTTTTACCTTTTTCGCCCCCTGTTCTTGTTATAGTATTTGGTTTCTTTAATATCTGGGCTGGATGTTCAGCATGGCGCTGGGTCAATACGCTTCCTTGGTCGGTGAGAGCGGCTGGAGAACTCAGCGCCTCGGGCGTTTGTTTTATTTTTCAACTTCATTGGAATGCACTCGAAACACGAAGGTTTTTTTCTTCTCTGCTATAAATTCGATAATGCTTTGTATTTGGGCCTTGTTGCTTTTATTTTGGCATGCTTTTGGCCTTGATATGCGCGGCTGCGGGCTCGGTGGTTCCAAGAGCTTATGATTAGCAATATATGATACTGAAATTGACGACTTCCATCACTCGGTTCTGAATGTAGTTGACTTTGTGGACATTGTCCGTCGCAATGTTTCCAGCATGCACGTGCTGCCAATGGCTTATACGTTTCCACGAGACGGTCCCTCGCATCTTTTTGCACGCACATTGCGTGAGGATATACACGTGTAGGTCATCCATCCATGTTTGCATTCACATTCTACTCACAAGTGAACAAACATACGTGCACACGAGTCACATCAAGGGAACATTCAACTGAGTAGATCGTCACACTAATTTATTCTACCACCACAGCACACGCTGCACCGTGAGCAAACTCGTCGTAAGATATCAAGAATATAGGCAAACATTGTCTCCGCCAAGCAAATACGTCAAAAAAACCATAGAAATCGAGTTCCAGTCCCAATTCAGATAGGCCCATGTTGATTGATTTTCCACATCTCCACCTCCTTTCCTTGCCATCCGTCGGGCAGCTTCCAATCTCTGCGCATCTTGGTATCAGGGTATTTCGTCCAGCAAGCAAGCCAAAGTCCGTAAAACGAATTAAACACATCAGAAAAGTATTATTAAAATAGGAAATAAACATAATTTAGCATGGGGGAGTCGAGGGTGTAAAGAAAAGACTCGTATGAGGGGTTCAATAAATGCGGCGGGCGGACTCTGTGGCCTCGGTCCATGAGACATAGGATTAGTGGTAACAGAGAATAAGTAGAGATATTGTTGTGCGCTCCAGTACAACAGTACATGCGTTTCAAACTCGTAGCAAACTCGTAGCAGAGATTGTAGCAACTGCCTGAGAAGTCTTCAGAGTCAAGAGGATATTTTCCGTGGGATGAGTGTAGAAACTAAGAGTGCCGACGGAAGATGCAAGCCGCTTCCCCCCCAAAAGATCAATGGAACGAAGAAGAAAAAACAACATGACAAGAGAAACTTAAAGCAAGTCATAAAACATTTCGTTAAGCCTTTAAAAGGCGAGGGGCTTCTTTTTACGCCCAAACATTTTGGTCAACCCGCCACTGTCTTCTTGTTGAGAAGATCTCCGGTCAATCACCATGGGCGAATTGTTGAGTGGCGGTCCCGAGTCACGAAAGAAGGCAGCCAAATCCGCCGTCTCACTTCGCTTGCTGGCCGCCTCGCGAGGTTCAAATTTCTTCATCGGAACCCTACCCGCAGTTGAAGAAGTTGTTGACGGTCCTCGGGCTCGTTTAGCTCCAATGTTGCCATTCATGGGATTGTACTTGTCGTATCCTGGAGGTATGTTGACTTGAATGGGGATATACCCTCTTCCACTGCTGGCGCGGCTCACCGAGCGTGACTCTGGCATGCCTTTGATCGATGCTGAGTCCTTCTCTTTTTCTTTGTCCTTGCCGCCGCGAGTAAACCTCCCAATCAAGCTTGGCGCACTAGCTTTCTTCCGTGGCAATCGGGGGGCTGGTGCAGACACAGGCTCCGGTGGTGGCTCATAGTTCCGTAGGAATTCCGCCAGGCTCTCCTCTTTCTTTACTGGCAGTTTGGGTGTATCCAAGATATGGTCATCCTGGCCCACTCCCCCCTCTTCGTCGCTGAAGTCTATAGCATAGGGATCGCGTACCCTCCTGGTTTTTGGCTTGGGCATCATATTATCGTCATCGTCAAAAAGCTTGTTTGGAATTTTCGGAGTTTTGTGTTTGATCAATGCCGACTTGGAGTTCACAGATGATTGCATCGATGGCATAGAGCTTTCTGTCACATTTGTGGACGTTCGACTGCTGCGAATGTCAGGGATATTTGCGTCTATAGCTTTACCGCCAACAGCTCCAGACATCTGATCCGAGTCCATTGTAGTGCGAAAAGGGGCAACATGACGAGGGATCCGATGATTGCTTGCGGCTATTGGCGGTCCTTGTCGAATAAAGTCAATGAGATCCGAGTTATCGACCCTGCTATCCACAGTCGCGTCGCGAGGCTGGTAGCGCAAGCGATTCGCGAGGCTGGTAGCAGAGGCACGTCGAGATTCCCTATACCCTTTGTCGGAGCTTACGGGAGGGGATCCAAGTTTCGGCACAGTATACGATTTGGTTTCGCCAGCCGGTCCCGTTGACTTGATAAATTCGGCGAAATCGGACACCGAGTCTGATGGAACGCGCGCCTCTCTAGCTGTAGCTCCATTGGTCCGGGCTGTGGGCGCCGTTATGGTGGTTGGTGCTGGAGGAACTGGACCAGCAGGGTTGATGATGGCCTTGCTCTCCACAATCTTGGGACTGGCAGGAGATGGAGGCAGGCGAGGAGAGGGTAAATTGCCCGCGGCCGAAGGAGTCAATATTGGGGACGCCTTGGGTGAATATTGATGAGCTCGGGCATCCTCGCTCTTGCGACGGGCAAACTTTGTTACAACCGGACTATCCAAAGACCGTTTCGCCTGCAACGTACAATATCAGTACATGGTCTCTAGGAAACGCGATGTATTCTTTCGGGGCTGCACGATTGCGATACTTACATCAATGTCACGCATATTCTCAGGTGTAAGAGTATATGTAATGGTTTGGTTGCTTTGGATGAGCTCTTCGAAGTTACGAGCTACACTCTCCGAGCGGCTAGAGCTGTCCTCCGAGGTTCGCACCGGTTTAAGACGGGACGCCCCAGATGACACTGAAGAAACAGAGGTGTGAGCTTGGCTAACTTGGCGAGAGCCGGAGGTATTTTGCTGTTGCGCTGGTAGGCTAAGTTCATCTGATTCATGAGTTCTCGTGCGCTCGATTGAAAGACGACTTTTGGTTTCAGGCTTGGGGCTGCTCCAACCCGAATGGACAGAAGCTTTCTTGGGCAGATCCGGTGCGTTTCCTTTTGCAATGTCCGGCGACGCGGGTGTTGCTGGTAGAGAAACCGTCCTAGCACTCACAGGTGACTGTTCGTACTTTGAAGAAGATTGAATCTTAGTATTTAGAGTGACGAGCATTCCCTTTCTGCGCTGTGACATTGCAGAACTTGTGCTGCCAGCTGCTTCCATCTCCGTGGCATCTGCCGAGCTGTCCGGCTGGTTTACAGCCCTGGTAAAATTCTGAGATGCCTCTTCCTCAAGTTCGGAGATTGGTGCCGTGTTGCTGGCGGAAGGCTTTCTCTTATCGTGCGATGAGCGAGGGGGCAGCGCGTTAATTGCTGCTTTAATTGGGGTTTCGTTACTCGTGGCTTTGGACCGATCATCTGAAGCTGCTGTTCTTGCAAAGCCACTGGCAACGCCGGCCACTCTAACCGGACGAAGCTGTTCTGTAGCGTCTAATGAGGTTGGCCGAGAGCGTGCAGGACTACGCGGCGCAGGTACGTCAATGATGCGTGCGGAGTGCACACTAGACGACCTCTTCATCGGAGTTGCCTTGCCATTACTATCGGAGTCTGTGGACTGAGCGCTGCTAGACATCGAGATGCGCGAAGTAGTCATGATTTCAGCTTTTTCAAATGCAACTTCTTCTGTGCCGTCATAATCCGACCCCGAGCTCTGACTTCGTGCATCGACATCTTTTTTGGCCGGCACATCACTAGTCGCAATAGGTTCAGCATTTGCCTCTGAAAGACTCCCATGACCGTCTGTGCTCATTGCAACTCCAATCTCGGCTACAGTGTCCTGGTCCGCTTCAGACTCTGAGGTTGATGGTGGGATGTGTCTTTGGGTCTTTGGGGGGAAGTGAGGGATTCTTGGAGTCGGCAGTGACGTAGAACGCTGTCTGCTGCGTACAGTAGGCGTATGCGGTTGTGACTTGGTCGGGGTCGGAAGTCCATTCGCGAACATGGACGAGCTGATCAAAAGACTCTTCGGACGCTTTCTAACCTGTACTTCATCGTCGTCCATTTCGTCGTCACCTTCGTCGTCACCTTCATCGTCGCTATAATGCGTAAGACCCGGAACCTCAATCTCATCCACATCGTTGTCTCCAAGGGGCAGCGGGATGTCCATAGGCTGTACATCCTCCATGATAGGGTCCTCGAAATGTTCCTGGGAATCCCTAAACTCACTCCCCGAGTCACTAGTTGCAGATTTAGGGGGGCTAAGAGCGTCGTGCGCAATTTCCATTTGACCCGGCTTGCATGGGGTCGGTGGTCCCTTTGGAAACAGACTTCCAGCTATGTCGTTTGCTGGAGTTCTCATTCTTTTCTTCCATCCCCGCCAAAGGCGCCCTAACGTTCTGTCTAGCGCAACACGTTCCATGTCCAAGTCGGTAACCACAATGCGATCTGCAGGGTCACTCGTGTTGCGAGCACCGTCCTTGAGCTCTTTTTCAATCTTTGATCGAACTCGTTGATATGCGGCTTGCCCGGCAACTGTCAGAGTCAGTTCGCCCATATACTCGATGACAGACGTAAGGAAAATTGCCACGGGGGCAGAAATGGTATCGGAGATTTGCTCGTGCGCCCCGATGTCAAGGTTCTCTTCTTCCATGTAGGCATCTTCGTCCTCTTCTTCCATGTCCCCCAATGATGAATAAACCATGCACCGAAGCCTTGTTCTTTTCCACACAA